TTCAGAATTCCTGCACAGCTGAATCACCTGGGTTCTGCCCTTCACATCACACCTTCCCAGCTCACCTTTTTGATGTCATTCCAAGCTTTAAGCTTCTTCAGGAGGAGAACAGCTTCCTTGGTCTTCTTGTAGCCCTCAACTTTGTCCTCAACAACCAGAGGGAGTTCTGGAATCTCCTCAATGCGGTGGCCTAGACAGGATTTCACAAGACACTCAGTGCTGCTCACTGACCTTGGCTGGACCATTCCTCAAGGTTATTGCTTTGTATATTCAGAAATGATGTATGATAAATTAAATTCATGACAGAAATTCATGAAATGAAGTCCAGCACAGTAACCAGAGCAGTGAAGTTCCAGTGGTCTTACAGGTCTCACACAGGACTTTGTGTACCCGAGGGTTGGGTAGATCTTTGCCTCCATGAACAGAAATCAAACTGCACTGCAAGACTCCATCTAAGCCACCACAAGTACCCAACGCTGGCTCAGACAAACAATTGCAGAGGCAGAGTTCTCACCTTTAGACATGACCAGAGCCGGCAGGGCAGAGGCAGCCAGAGCAGAGCAGATGGCGTAACGCTTCTGCATGATGTTCACCCTGCGGTGCCAGCGCCGCCAGGTCTTGGTCGGGGCGAACATGCGGCCACCACGACACATCTGGGAGCTGCAGTTAAGGACAACTTTGTGGAGCTTTCTTATCCCAAAGTGACTCCTTATTGCTTGCTCAGCATTAACGGATCGTCAACCACCTGTGCCAGGATTCTGACAGCAGGCAACTGTCCCTGGGCACAGGGTAAGGCGCAAATTACGACATCACGGCAAGACAGAATTTGGGAATCACATCACATCAATCTGAGCTGCAGCCATTACCTCAAGAAAAAGATTCCATCTCACATTTAGATAATTAAAAACCTTTCTGCTGGCTGAGTTCAGTGCCCCCAAAGCCAGCACAGCCACGGAAGGATACGTTGCCAAAGGCACCCTGGCCAGAGCGGTGAGTGCCACCACCCCGGACACGCGGGATTCGAGCAACAGCTCTGCCAGTACCCCATGATTCAGCACTGGTCTGGTGACCTGCAACAGAGAGAGAGAGAGAGACATCGTGAGGGTCATCCAGGTGACAGCACTGCCATGCTCCCACAGCCAGAGGGGCGCTGAACTCAGGGCACTGATCAGAACTTCCACTCAATCATGTGTTTCAGAAACACGGACCAATGAAGTGGAATCTCATCACGTCAGTCTAACACATCTTGAGCAGGAAAACTTAATCCTAGTCTGTTAATGTACCTGATTCTGACCTAAGATCTTTAAGACACTTATGTAAGGCTTGATCCTCAACCTTGGCACGGCTACACCAAGCAAGTTAGGATGTTTGTATGAAACTCAGAAATAAGGTTATAAGGCATGTTTCTAGCAGAGACTTCTTGGGAAGCAGAAGTTATCTGCACAAACAGAAGCCAATATAACAAATGTCCATTGGCAGGAGTTTTTCCTTGATGAATGCCTTAGGCAAGTCTTACAAGGTCAAAATAGAGCAAGGATTTTCACCTGGAACAGCTTCAGCCATTTTATGTTTTTCCTGCAAAGCTACCTGAGGACCTTGGCACTGTGACGTCTCTAGTAATATGCACTTCAAGCAAGACCACAGAATACCCCAAAATACCACCTTGATGCTCCTCAAAATAATAAAACTGCTGCATTTTAAACCATTAAACACCACACTGTTAACAACTGGCCCTGCCTTCTACACAGAACCCCACAGATAAGCACTTCTCTTATCCCAACTCCAGCTTTATTTCCATGTGAGCCTCTCTGCAGTGCAGCCCTGACGCCTTGTGAAGGCTGGCCTAGAACAGAGGCTAGATGGAGTTAAATAAAGTAGGGAGGCTTATATATTAGGAGGCTTCAATGGATACACCTTGGGCAGCCAGGACTGCACCCAAGATGAACCCAAATGGTCACAAAAATGGATGCCTGGTCATGGGGTGTCATATTTTATAAGTTTTAGTCTATTAGCATGTTGGAGTTAATTGCCCAATTACAGCTTTAGCTTATGCAGTCCCACCCTGCTTGTTTTTCTCTCTCCAGCCCACATTGTTTGTGCTCTGGGGCTGAGATTTGGGTTATTTGTCCTTGGTGCCCAGCTGGGGCAGGAATTGTTTTGTGTCCCTGCTCTGTGCACAGAGCTCACCATCCCTCACGTGCAGCTCAGCCTGCAGCAGTGCACACACTACAGCACTCAGAAGCCCAACACCACAAACAGCAGTGCTGAGAGTGCCCAGCCGTACCCGCGAGCTCGCTGACGGCGTAGGGCTGCCGGTTGTTCTTGCGCAGGTTGGTGTGCACGAAGTTGACCACGTCGGGCCGGATGGGCGCCTTGAACACGGCGGGCAGCGTCACGTTCTTGCCCGACGCCTCTCCCTTCTCGGAGTACACGGAGATCAGCGGCCGAGCGCAAGCCTGGGGAGGCACAAACCCTTTCAGTACAGAGTGGAGTGAGCTCTTGGTGTTGGAACCCCTCAGATATTGCTCAGAACCGAGGAGTCGTCAGCTCGGCAGTGCCAGCACACTGACAGCAGGCAACTGTCGCTGGGCACTGGATAAGACGCAAATTACGTCATCACAGCAATATTGTGCTCCAAAGCTCACCCCAGAGAGCTACACCTGCATTCCCAAGGAACTGATACTATTCAGCCTCTGGGCTCTATAATAAACCCCTTCAAAACTACTTACCAGCTACTATTAAAAATCCCACCTGTGTTAACCAAACATTTGTAATTTAATTCAAGAAATACTGTAACCAGCTCACCAAACAGTGTCAGAGGACACTGAACAACCTCTGGTGCTTTAAAATTTGTGCACTGAAAAATAAAGCTGCTCTCAGCAGCAGCTGCCTATCAAAAAGCTGAAAGGATGCCCAAAAATAGCCAGAGCATGAGCAGCACCCTTAAAAAAAATGTTTTAGCATTATGTTGTATCGATTGTTAATTAATCTGGTGGTAACTGCACAGGCAAAGCATTTTGCTTCCCCTTCCCACCTGCAGTTCATTTTAGAGGTATTAAAATGCTTCCGAACTCCAAACTAAGTAGCCAATAGCACCATCTCTGCATGTGCCACTGATCACAAGCACGGCTCTGGCCCCTGGTATTAACCCAGACCCCAACACAAGCAACAAACCCGGCCAGGGTGAAAGCATCTGAGCACAATCTCAGCTGTATTGGCAAGAAAAACTGTTCATTCGCAACCTGATTCTAAACCAAGGCCTCTTACAACCTGTTTTGCAAAAAAAATTGGTTAAAATAAGAAATACATACAAGCCGTTCTTCCCTCTCTAGATGGGCGCAAACGCTCCCGTGGGGTCTGTTTCGCTTTAGATAAATACATCAAGAAACCACAAAGCGCTGCTAGATAGCGATGGGGACCCATCCCATCCCTTTCCGTGCCCATGGAAAAGAGAACTTCGGGCCAACCACGCCGAGCTCCCTCCCNTGTCTTGGCCTTCTTGGCAGGGGGCTCTGCCTTGGGTGCAGCTGGGGCCTTGGCAGCTGCCAGCTTGGCCAGGGCCTTGGCTTTCTTCTCTTCCTTGAGTTTGTGCTAGAACAGACAGAGAGATGATCAGTCAGGGCATCACCTGAGGCCCAGCCCCAGCCCCAGCACCCACTCACGTTCTGCGCGTGCCGCAGGATGGTGTTGCGCCGCATGGTTTTGGCGTACGGGTTCAGCTTGATCATGATTCTCAGGTTCTTCAGCGGGTTCTTCTTCAGGACCCTGCGCTGAATCTTCTTCCTGAAAAGCACAGCCACGTTGTATCACCAGTGTATTTTGCAATTCCACTTCTGCTGAATTCCCCGTGAGATCTAGTTAACTGCTATTCCTTGTGTTCATACCCAGAAATTAGGAAATTCCAGCCTGAAATCAATTTCAAACCTCACTGCACAGCCTTTGTTCATGAAATCAAATCACTCACTTTGGAGCACGCAGGGCCTTCTGGATTTCCTGGCTTCTCATGATTCTTCCAATATCTGTATTGGTCATCTTGTGCATGGGCAGGCTGCAAAACAAACGTTCAGAGTGTAAGTGGGTGATGAAACCATGGCTAACTCACCACAACCAGGCATTCAGGAGCAAGGCTCTGTATCCCTTTTCCTGGGATAGGGGAAACCTTCCTGCCCCCCGGCTGACTCACTTGTAGTCGCTCTTGAGCGTGGCTGCCTTGCGCCAGGTGCCGTACAGATCGTCCAGCTTGCGGAACGCGCTCTCGGTCCAGATGCAGAAACGCCCCACGTGGCCCCCGGGAGCGAGGCGCAGCAGGTTCAGCTTGTTCACGTTCAGCAGAGTGATTCCTGCAGGAAAGCAACCCCTTCAGTTTGGGATTTAAATTGAGGACTGTGAGGCTAAGCAGTAGACAGGATGCAGAAAGAGAATGGGGATTTTTGGCTTTGATATTACATAGCTACACACACTTCTGTATGAACATCTATTGAATTTTAAATTAATAATAAGCCTATTTCCAGTGGCAAACTAACCAGCCTCATTTTTAACTGCCCCAAACACAGTTGAGGGCTGGAACAGCTGCAGTATTTGTCACAAAACCCCTAAACATCACCTCACCAGGTTCTTACAAAAATCAACCACTGCAGCCAGTCAGCACTTCCACTCAATCATGTGTTTCAGAAACACGGACCATGAAGTGGAATCTCATCATTCCAGGCAGTGTCCCAGCAGAGCAGGGAGCGTGTCCCAGCTTAGTTACCGGGGATGTTCCGGAAAGCCCTGATGATGCCGTTGTCCTCGTTGTAGATGATGCAGGGTCCCCTGCGCTGGATGCGGCGGCGATTCCTCATCTTGCCCTTCCCGGCCCGCATGCGCTGGGAGGCGTAAACCTGGCAAAAGCACAAACTCAACATCCCAGAGGCCTCAACATCCCAGAGGCCTCAACATCCCAGAGGCCTCAACATCCCAGCAGCCAGAGCCAACACAACACGGTCAGAACTTCACCATCGTCACTGCAGATCTGCAACACGGACCGGTGAGATGTTCATCATTCCCCAGAGTTAGAACACAGAACTACTCAGAATTCCTACTACTACTACTAATTCTACTACTTCAGAATTCCTGCACAGCTGAATCACCTGGGTTCTGCCCTTCACATCACACCTTCCCAGCTCACCTTTTTGATGTCATTCCAAGCTTTAAGCTTCTTCAGGAGAAGAACAGCTTCCTTGGTCTTCTTGTAGCCCTCAACTTTGTCCTCAACAACCAGAGGGAGTTCTGGAATCTCCTCAATGCGGTGGCCTAGACAGGATTTCACAAGACACTCAGTGCTGCTCACTGACCTTGGCTGGACCATTCCTCAAGGTTATTGCTTTGTATATTCAGAAATCATGTATGATAAATTAAATTCATGATAGAAATTCATGAAATGAAGTCCAGCACAGTAACCAGAGCAGTGAAGTTCCAGTGGTCTTACAGGTCTCACACAGGACTTTGTGTACCCGAGGGTTGGGTAGATCTTTGCCTCCATGAACAGAAATCAAACTGCACTGCAAGACTCCATCTAAGCCACCACAAGTACCCAACGCTGGCTCAGACAAACAATTGCAGAGGCAGAGTTCTCACCTTTAGACATGACCAGAGCCGGCAGGGCAGAGGCAGCCAGAGCAGAGCAGATGGCGTAACGCTTCTGCATGATGTTCACCCTGCGGTGCCAGCGCCGCCAGGTCTTGGTCGGGGCGAACATGCGGCCACCACGACACATCTGGGAGCTGCAGTTAAGGACAACTTTGTGGAGCTTTCTTATCCCAAAGTGACTCCTTATTGCTTGCTCAGCATTAACGGATCGTCAACCACCTGTGCCAGGATTCTGACAGCAGGCAACTGTCCCTGGGCACAGGGTAAGGCGCAAATTACGACATCACGGCAAGACAGAATTTGGGAATCACATCACATCAATCTGAGCTGCAGCCATTACCTCAAGAAAAAGATTCCATCTCACATTTAGATAATTAAAAACCTTTCTGCTGGCTGAGTTCAGTGCCCCCAAAGCCAGCACAGCCACGGAAGGATACGTTGCCAAAGGCACCCTGGCCAGAGCGGTGAGTGCCACCACCCCGGACACGCGGGATTCGAGCAACAGCTCTGCCAGTACCCCATGATTCAGCACTGGTCTGGTGACCTGCAACAGAGAGAGAGAGAGAGACATCGTGAGGGTCATCCAGGTGACAGCACTGCCATGCTCCCACAGCCAGAGGGGCGCTGAACTCAGGGCACTGATCAGAACTTCCACTCAATCATGTGTTTCAGAAACACGGACCAATGAAGTGGAATCTCATCACGTCAGTCTAACACATCTTGAGCAGGAAAACTTAATCCTAGTCTGTTAATGTACCTGATTCTGACCTAAGATCTTTAAGACACTTATGTAAGGCTTGATCCTCAACCTTGGCACGGCTACACCAAGCAAGTTAGGATGTTTGTATGAAACTCAGAAATAAGGTTATAAGGCATGTTTCTAGCAGAGACTTCTTGGGAAGCAGAAGTTATCTGCACAAACAGAAGCCAATATAACAAATGTCCATTGGCAGGAGTTTTTCCTTGATGAATGCCTTAGGCAAGTCTTACAAGGTCAAAATAGAGCAAGGATTTTCACCTGGAACAGCTTCAGCCATTTTATGTTTTTCCTGCAAAGCTACCTGAGGACCTTGGCACTGTGACGTCTCTAGTAATATGCACTTCAAGCAAGACCACAGAATACCCCAAAATACCACCTTGATGCTCCTCAAAATAATAAAACTGCTGCATTTTAAACCATTAAACACCACACTGTTAACAACTGGCCCTGCCTTCTACACAGAACCCCACAGATAAGCACTTCTCTTATCCCAACTCCAGCTTTATTTCCATGTGAGCCTCTCTGCAGTGCAGCCCTGA